AATATTACGCTTCTAGCATGCAAAAAGAACCACGTGCATCTGCCTGGAGATAAGCAGCCATATGTGCTTGAAATGCATTTGATGGGAGACAGTATATTTCATGTGCTGCATCTCAGCTATTGTTTTTGGTTGATTCAGTTAACATGTTCTAAAATTGGACTGATTTACTGAAGATTTGCAAACATAATTCATGTGCACTTGCACTATGAATAAGCCTCTAAAACTAATTCAAGCACAGTCAAAAAATAAATTGCAAAATAAGTTATTCAATTGAAATCTGCCATCTGAGGCACTGTAATAGAAAACATTTATTATAAAACTAACATATATTTGTGGCTAGAGATGTGTTCAGTACTAAACATCTCTTTGTGAGGAATTTATTCAGGCTTTTCTGAAAGAACGTCTTAACTGGGCTAACAGAAAATTACATGTTCAAAAATAATTGCAGGTTCTATGATTTTCATCCTGCATCACAGGCTTCCCATTTTCACTCCTTTTGTTTTGGCAGGCTTATGAATTTTAGGCAAACTTTTTTTCTGTACAGCTGCAGAAGCACATTTCTGTAGTCTGGATTTGTGATTTAAACACTGGAAAGACAGGTAGGGTGTGAGGCACAAGGAGCAGAAGCGTTGATACCAACACATTCATCTTGAAATGCAATGCTCTAAATTTGGCAAAATTCATTTCACAGAGCTGCAAAAGTCATAGGGTATGCTACACTGGAGGCCTCAATCCACTCAAAAGCACTGTTTCCTCTTCAAAAGTGAGGGTATTTTGCCAGTTCAGCCTTTCATTAGTGCTCAAGGGGAGCTCTTTGAAATGAGTACATGTCTGTAATTAATAATAATAGTCAAATGTGTCTGACATTAGTGCCAGTCATTGATAGGTTCAATTCAGGCAGATAAAGATTTTCACACAATACAGTGGAATAGATAATTTGAATTTTTAAAATTTTTTGTATTCCCTCCTCTCCAAGGACAGATAATGAAAGCCCTGAAAAGGAACATCCCTGTCCAGGTTTCTCAGTTATTGGGGAAGAGGATTGGGAATAGACAGTGAAAAAAAAGACAAAGGCTGGAAGACAAGGGGGAAAGGTCAGACTATTTCTAATCAGGAGGTTTTTTTCACTGAACCTTGGAACATTTGGTATTGCTACCACCAGCAATGGGTAAAACTGTACCCTGTTTCTAGCCAGTCCTTGTGCCTCAGTGCTGAAGACAGAGCTGAGGGAGGGGACTCAGGCCAGCTCCATCCACTGCAGTCATCTGACAGTGTCACAATCCAAATGGAAAGGGGGAAACTTGCCCCTCCTTGAACAGAAAATTCCATAGTTCAGTGGATGGTTCTAAGCACATATTTGTGAAAAAAAATCAGTATTACCACAATCAAATTTTTACCCCTCTTATTGCATCCTTCTACAGCTGTGTTAGTAATAATAGCAGCTGTTTTAAATGTGTTTTGATTCAGAGCTCATGCATCTGCAATACAAAGTGCACCACATTACTTCCACAGTACCTGTGTTCTGGGTAACAATGCTTTTAAAAAGTCATATGGCTAATTGGATACCATTCCAAACTGCTTCCAGCAATTTTACAGGTGGCTTCTAGCAGAAATTTTCAGTAACTTCTTTTTATTTTTTTATTTAACAGTTTTCAATTAACATAATCTATAAAGTCTTAATGAGTTCATTTTCTGAATAGGTGCTTAATATGAGACATGCATCAAAATCTCTTGCTTGAGTTATTCTAAAGTTTTCCCCTATTCTCTCTTTTCTTTCTCCAGAGTGTGTGAAGAAGACTAGGAAAATATGCCAAGTTAGCTGTTATGCTCCTTAAGAACTCTCAAATGACCTTGTCAGGAAAAAACCCAACTCTTTGATTCATATTTCAAAATCCTAACCTGCCCCTTCTGCTCTTCTGCTTTCTTGTTTCTGTAATGTGACAGAACCGAATTCAATATTAATGACCAGCAATCATTTCCAGCTACAAACTCTGCTGCCTTCTGCAGTCCAAGTGCCTCGTTAGCTCAGCTCTGTGGGTAAGATGCTCACTTTTGTACTGCTTTCTCCTGGGTTAAAGATGAATAGAAAGCTGGGCTGGTAGCTCAGCTAAAAATAACCTCTGATCACTCAAGTTCCCTCTGAGTTGCAGTTGAACCATTCAGGTTGACTTCCCTTGAACAGCTCTGTTATCCAAAGATACCTCGTGTCACTCCCTAGAGGTGGTTTCAGTGAAAGCCATGAATGCTTTTTTTTACAAAAGAAGGTATTTCTTTTCCTGAGAAAAACACTCAGGTATTTCTCTTCACACTGCAAGCAGAGAGCAGACAGCTTGATTACACTGCTATTGTTTTTCAATGCACAATTAAATAATTCATCCTGCTGAATAAAGCCAGCTTTTTGTTACAGAAGAACACAGAGTTCATTGGATGAAGCAGACTTCCTTAAAATATGCAAATGAGGTACAAGCCTGGAAGCAGAACTCTGCTGATTTTCAAAACCTCTGATTACTGTTGGTTTTTAAGTCTGTTAAATATACGGAATCCTCCAGCTGCCTTTGTGGGATCCCTCTGGCAGGTACTTCCTGCCTTCAGTTACTTCCAACCCTGCTCTCCCAGCTCTTTGGGTCCACATGAAGACTTCACAAGCAGAATATTCAAGAAGAATTTTAGATTTAGAATTGAGAAGTACATTTTTAATATTAAATATTAAATTTTAATATTAAAACTTTGTAAATCTGTCCCAAAAAGTTAGTGTTTGCACAAAAGAGCTTTAGCTTGGTGACGCCAGACTTAAATTTTCTATAAAATCCCAAATCTGTTTTCATTCACCCATTGGAGAAGTTTTTTTCTCTTCAGTAACTAGGAAGAATCTTGGTCTTGTGAGGTTAAAAGAAGTCTTTGGGATAGCTCTCAAAATAGCAGTTGTGTGGTGAGAACACAGAGCTGCTACTGAATTCACAGGAGCAAGCTAGGGCTCCTCACCACAGGATCTGCACAAGCTCTCAGGATATCAGAATTCCAAAGAATATAAAATGAAAGCTTTCCTATCTTCAAAACCATACAAAAGCATAAGGGGCATTTAAACTCCCCCCAAAAATGGGAAAAATACCAGAGCAGGGAGAATGGAAAAGGAAAAACAGATTAAACAATTGTCTTGCTGCTCATGCTGCATAAAAGAGCTGGGACAAATTCTTCTGACTATTCTTTTTCCTCTCTGTGGAAAATTACAGAAATTAAAGCTCTGGTGGCAACATCTGGGAAAGAGAAAGCTTCCCTTCCTCCCTCCCTTCATCTCAGCAGTTTCTATTTTAATGCCACTCCCTCTATATACACATAAATATATCATGTATACATTTATACACATATACACACCTATATGAATATATAAACTAGTCTTGTCAGCATCTGACTCATAGGGCCCAACAGAACAACATATGATTTCTCTTCATTTTTTGGGTGACAACACTGGAATCAATGACTAAAGACTCACATGCTCTGTGTATATAACTAAACTAATCAACAGTTTTAAAACATTTTTTTTTGTGCAATAAATCTCTTTAGAAATGTTTGAGTGGCTATTTTTAATGTCCTAGTCAGGGCAAATTGTCTGTCAAAAAGAATGATCTGCTGGCCAAAAAAAATCCATTTGTAAGATTTAAGTGAGAAAAAAAGCAGTGCATGGATCTTTGTGCAAGGCAGAGCACTCAGCTCAGACTGCATCCCTCAGTCTGCACTCTGCTTCCTGACCAGAGACATCCACAGTGTCAGAGAAACTCTATGCTGAAAAAGAAACATTCCTTTTCTTTATAAAGAGACAGAAATCTTCAACAGACACTGACATATCCCTTCAAGGTATCCATGTGTGACTTTAGATTCTCTACAAGCATTCCTGGTTTTGCCCAGAGTCAGACATCTCAGTAACACAATAAACAGGACAGTTTGAAAGCATGTCAGCTGAAAATCTCCCTGCAATACTTTGCCAGGATTTACCTTTTTGTTTTTCCTCTTGGGAAGACAGAGGGTCACAAGGCCTCTGAAAGTGGTAGGAGCATAAGTTCCATTTGAAGTCAATAGGATTTGTAATCCTAAATCCCTCAAATGCTTTTGAAAACCTCTGTGGATATGTGTCTTGACAAAAGCATCAACTTTGCCTTTCCTTTGACACTGAAGTTCCATTTCCCTAAAGACAGAGAATCTACACACTTAAGCTCTAACCCCAATGATATTCCTGTGAGCTACAGACAATACAAGGAACATGCTTGGCAATGAAATACAGAATAGATGTAAAGCAAAATTTTCAAAAGCACCTTCAGAGACTTCCAATAAGTATTTTCTTCCTAAACACTTGAGTAATTTTGAATTTTTTTTTTCCTGGTATGGATGTTGTGTCCAGTGCTATCCTGGACACAATTAGATTGGGTTTTTTCCCTATCCTTTAGTGGCTGCCCTGGAAATATTTTAAGTACTGCCATAACTTAAACACTCACCAAGACAAAGTGCAAAACATCATTTACAGAGCCTGCACCTGGAACAGCAGCATATACACAACACCATTTCCCTTTTAAAATCAGCACTGAAGTTCATGCATTACAGCTGGTTTTAAAGAATTGGCCCCTTGAGTGTTAGAAAATGCAGTGGTTACATTTACAACATTAATTTAGAAAAGCCTTTAACATGAAAGAAAATGAATGTGAAGATCCCTGTTTTAAATTGCATGTTAAAACAAGATTCATGGTTACAGAGAATCTCTCTGAGCACACATTTCATCATTGAATATAAAGTGGAATGGATGGGGATTAAAAAACATGGTGAAAAAATACCAAGATGAGTCAAACTCTTCTACATAAAGCACCTCAAGCTGTGCCTAAATTGGGAACAAGATGTAAGTATGAATATAGCTCTCCACTAATGCACAGGACAGACAGAGGAAGAGAGGCATAAAGCATATGGGGATATCACAAAATAGCAGACAACAACCACAAAATGTGTACTAAGTTTACCTTGATCAAATGGCTTGTTTGGATTCCAGTTTCTGAAATAATCATCCTAAATGGGAATAAAAAAAAAAAAAAGAAATTTCAGGAAAAATACAATCAGTGTTTTCAGTACTATTTCACACAACTAAATGAATCAATTTGTGTGTTGATTCTAACAGATTTAGCTCCAATCAGATAAGACTATCAACAGGTTGTGTCCTAGAGAGTGGTTAATGCAGGTTAGAAATTAAAGAATGAAGAATTCAGCACCTTGAGTTTTTCTTCTGGATTGTTTTTGAAGCCATGTCCATTATTAAGTATTTTATAATAACTCTGTATTATTTCATGTTAGTCTACAGTCTTTGACAAGAAAACATATTGTTCAGGTAGTATAACATGATCCACACCATCTTTCACCACCATTCTGTGGTGAAAGGTCAGCAAAGTAAATTCAAAGATACATCCATTTGGACACATGTAAATCCCACCACTGTGAATGTAAAGAAATGCAGGAGTAATATTGCAAACATTACATCAAATAGTACATCAACTTCCAGGAGCACTCACAGTGAATATTTTTGTCTCTGTTCCCATTATTAAACTTGTTTCAAACTAGTCTCTCTGTAGACAGAATGGAGAACTCTTCCATGTGTTGGATCAGTCTGTAGTCTGTGTACTTAGCAAATATTTATCTGAAGGCAAAGTTTTCCCTGCTTCAGAGTGCCATCAACCCTAGTGATGAAGAACTGGGAGTTAAGCCCAACTGATGTATCAGTTTCAGCATATTCTGCATCTCACTTGTGTCCTCTTTGAGAGGACGTGGTAACAACAGAATTCTCTATTTGAGGTGAGGAAGCATAGAAAATTTCTACAACACTGTCATTTTTTTCTGCATATTCATCTTTGCTTCCTTTTTAATATATCCAGTATTCTATATTCATTTCCTGAGGGATGCCACTAAAGAGATGTATTCATCAAGCTGTCCAGAATGACACCAAGATTTCTTTCTCCTGCCAGGTCGGTAACTAAAAACCTATCTGTGTGAATAAGACATCTAAATTATTTCTTCTGTAGGGCTTTGTTTATCTCCAGAACACTGAATTTCACATGCTCTCATGCTATCCAGTCACCCTAACCTGGAATATTTTGGAGATTTGGAAGTCAGCATGACTTTATGGGTTCAGAACAGGCTGCTACAGGAGGAAGGACTCCAGAGCCTCAGTGAACACCAGAAGATGCACTTCATGTTCCTTCCAGAACACCATGGACAGCATGGAGACCATGGATTGTTCTGCTGCTCTGGAACAGGCAAGCACAGGCAAATGCTGGCTTAGATCAAATTATTCTGCATGACTAGCAGGAAGAAATGTATATATTTTTTAAGCAATATGTTCATGCTCAGTGTCATACCGACTTCATGGACAGCGATAATGTTCCACAATAACAGCAAAGACTATTACCCATAATTTATTTCAGATACATCAAAAGTATCCATATTTTTTTCTTCACAAGTACAGGGTTTGGCACCAGAAATAGAATCACAGGCTTGCCTTTGAATTTCACAGCTTTGCTAATACAAAAACCCCCTCATGGTTACACAATGCTTTGTAACTGATGATGATGTACTGCTAAATTCACCAAGCATTAATCACTTTTCAGAATGTGTTGGGTTTTCAGCTTTTATAGCAGAATTTTTTTCAACAAAATATTCTTTTTTGCCTGCTTACATTTTTTTCCAAGGTGTTGCTTTGCTGCTGGGTTTTCAGCATCAGAAACTGTTAAATAATTCAACTCCCAACAAGGATTTCTTATGCTGGTGGCATATGGAACCAGTTTTGAAAGGATTGGAAAGGGGGTTTATCTCAATTTCAGTGTCAAAGGAATATTTTACAAAAAATGCACCTTCCTCACAAAAATACCTACAACACAGCTATCTCTTCTGTAGATCTATTATTCCTCCTCTTCTCCTTCATGCAGACCTGTTTAGTATTCCATTTTGAAAATTGAAATTATGTTTATTTTAGAATGGGCCTGAAACTAGTGTGATAACATAGAAAATACACAAGGAAAAATATGTGAAAAAAAAAAACCTAAAAGGTGAAATAGAGAAAACCTTTGAGATTTTCAAAATATAAAGCCCATTATTATTTATAGGGGTAAATACTGACTATAATTACATTAGAGCACTGCAGTCTATAGCAGTACAAAGTAACTTATGCCAGTTGGACAACTGTCCTGGTTTCAGCTGGGATAGAATTAATTTTCCTCTTAGCAGCTGGTACAGCACTGATTTAGGATGAGAATAATGTTAATAACAGACTGATATTTTAGTTGTTGCTGAGGAGTGTTTACTCCAAGCCAAAGACTTTTCAGTTTCCCAGGTTTCTTCAGAGAGAAGCCAGGAGGAAGAATGGCCAGGAAGAGAGACACAAACTGGCCAAAGGGATATTCTACACCTTAAAGCCCAGAATATAAACTGGGGTGAGTTACCTGGGGGGACCTGGTCAGTACCAGGGGACCAGCTGGGCATTGCTCAGCAGGTGGTGAAAATTGTACTGGGCATTACTTGTCTTTCTTATGGTTTATTTATTTTAAGAGCCATATTCATGTCTGAAATAATAATAAATAAATAATAATAAATATTAATAAATAATAATGCTTTTCTTATCACAAATCATGGGGTTTATCTTTTTTGTCCCCCCCAGCTCTCATCTCTGTGCCACCCAGGTAACGGGGAGGGTGAGGGTGTGAGTTGGGTGGTACCTGGATTAAAGCACAACAACACAAAATACAGCACCAGGGCTTCACTTCAGCATCAACACCAGCAACAACTGAGACTGAAGGGTTATGGCACCATAAAGGTGAAACTCACCCTGTAGATATGGAGAGCAGAAAATCTGTGTCACATTTAAATATACCCTTCAAGCTCTGACTCAGAAACAGACAGGGCTTTGTGCCAGTACTCAGGAAGGGGCTGAGATTTATAACAATATCCTCAAATGACTTTTGTTAGAAGGTGGAACTCTGGTTGTCATTGAAGGAGTATCATCATTTCACTGTAACTTCTTCCAACAGAGAAGCAGCACATATATATTTATATATATATACACATATATAATATAAAAAAATACAATCAACTTGATTTAAGAGATTTAAATTTCCCATTCAGTAAAACACCTTCCTGACAGAAAGACATCTGTGCATTTCTGAGCATTCTACTAAGGTTGATACTAAAACATCCCTTATGCCTTCTGTAACAATGAAAGTTATGCAATTTTCATATTAACATGTTAATTAATCAATATTCACACATTAATAATTAATATGTATCAATGCATTTCATTTGTAACAATATTAACAGCTGATCAGAAGAGTTTAAAATATAGAATGAATTATGATATATTGTGAATATTTTTATTCACTCTATGGATATTTACAAGTTAAAATTGAGAAACCTACCTCAACTTCCTGAACACGTAAGCATTACAAATGAGAAAAGAAAAAAGAATTAAATAAAGCAATACAAAATTAGGTTAACATTCATCAATTTTCTCCTTAGTGGCCTTTTAAATGTGAAATCACTTATTTCAGATGACCTTCACCCCCAAATGAAACAATTTTCTCTTTCTTTTCTGCCTTTTCCACCTCTGCTGCCATGACCCAGTTTTTATCTGCTGCACTATTAGCCAAATGCCATTTTACTAACATGTTTCTTTCTTGTAAGGCATCAAAAAAGGCTTTTTCATTCCCTTTTGGCAGGCAAAACCACCATAAAGTGTTTTTCCACACAGTCATCTGTACATACCTGGTATAAGAGAGACGTAATTTAGTTTTTTTCCTAGCTGACTTTAAGGAGTCTTTATTGGCTGGACTTTGAAGGCAATGCAAAACCAGGCACAAGGCCACTTCAGTGCAGCAGGTGACAGCAACTGAGAAATATTTTTGATGAACAAATATTTGAAAATATCTTTCTTGCATAGAATTCACACTTTGAAGGTTTTGCCTATGGTTCAGTGGTTGCATATGACTAAGCTGATCTTTTAATTAACTGAAGGGACTCTGCACACCTAAAATCATGTATGAAAAGAGAAGAGCTGATACTGCAAGCCAAGGCTGTAGCAGAGACCCTTAGCTCAGCTCAGTGTTAAAGGAAAGTGATTTGTTGGCTTGGCCTCTGCAACTGGCTCTGTATGGACTCTGAATCTCACATCACAGCTTAAATATTCCACTTCCAATTACAGGAAAAGAAATTCAACTCCTGTCAAACCAGGCCCAATGCAATTTTTGAGGAAATCTAGAGTTCTGTTCTCTCTAGGGGTGGGGTAAGGCCTTTAGCAAGATTATTTTCTGCCCCCTTTATAAGGTTTATTGCCTGCCTGAGGTGGGCAACAGCCTGGGGAGGCAAGGCAGGGAGCCCAGGGGACCCTCACACAGAAAGCTCAGCAGTGACTTCTCCCCACCTTAATTACATTGCAAGATTTGGGACAGGAGCTTCCTTTTCAATTCTGCATCTGTTCACCACTGAGCATAATGGAACCCGTCTAGATTTTACCCTCAGATTTAGGAATCAGTTGTGAACAAAACGAAAAGAAAAAAAAAAATCATAAAAGCAAATATAAATTGCTAGACTTGGGCCTCAGTTCTTCATTGCATTTTTATTATGTTGATCTGAGCAATCAAGAGATTAGAGCAAACACATTTTCACAGAATCACAGAGTTGGAAGGGACTGCCAAGAATCATCAAGTTCAACTCTTAAGCAAATGGCCCAAATGGGCATCAAAACAGTGACCATGGCATCACTAGCACCATGTTCTGAAGTCCATTTCACCACATCATGTAGAATAAATTTTTGTTTCTTAAGAAGTCCAAAATTATCCATTATCATTCAATAAGTCAAATCCAGCCAACTTAGATTGATGTGCTATCAACAAAGTCAATCAAGAGAATATTCATATCTTAAAATAAGTATGCAAAGGGCATGTCAAAAACACTAACTTAACACTTCACAAAAAGTCAGAACAATCAGAACTTTCAAAAATCTCATTCATCAGAACCCTCAGATTCATCAGAATTCATAGACTGGGTTCTGATTTACAAAGAAAAAAAAAATAAAAATCAAGCCTTGAAGTAGAGCTGGGTCTAAAACAATTTCCTGTTACCTCAGAAAAGTCAGCAAATAGAAATTGTCCCTAAGACCAGGACATTAATACAAGACTGTTCTCCTCTCCTATCACCCCTTCTATCACTACAATAACAATACAGTTTAAAAGAAAAAAATTAATGGCAAAATCAAACACATTTATCCTCTCTTCCTCTACCAACTAAGAAAGCAAACAACAGCTTCTTGTTCTCCTGAAGTTTAAGTATTAAAGTTATTCCCACTAATCCTACTCTTTTGTCATTTTGAATTTAGTTATTACCTAAGACTTGATATTTTGGAAGAGTTAATGAAGCATGGATAATTTAACACACAAACACTCTCTACACTTTATTTACTTGTCAAAAAGAAGCTCTTGCAAGATGCTCTTATTTATAAATACAGCCAAACATTAGCTAAATGGGTTCATAAATATTTATATTTGTTGCATTAATTGAGCTTATAACTTATTTGTATGACTCCAGCAGAAACGAGATGCTGACTGAAAACATTCCCCTGATTTTGTACCTTTCAGAATCAGCTCAGCTCAGTTTGCTCCCCCAAGGCCTGGCAGGATCCCTGAGAACTGGTGCAGAATCATCAGGAAAACCTCATCACAGACCCCTCCTGAGGAAGCTCCTGCACAAAGGAGCAAGCCCAGGACTCGCAGAGACCCCCAAGGAAGCAATCCTCATTCCCAGCCCCTCCTAGCCAACAGGAGTTTAAATTTCTTAGTACCTCCAGGAAGAACATTTATTAACACTGCTTTGCACCCTGCTTAGTGTTTCCCTCTTTCACCTTCCCTTTATGAATAAACAGTTTACCCTCATAAGGACCAACTGAAAAATGTAATTACCAGCTCATGGCTTTTGTTAAAATTAGCTCCAGAAAGATGCAGCTGCATTTTCTGCCTCTCTACCTTGCAGTGCAGATCACTCCAACACCAAGCAGTGTCAAAGCACCAGCTGCTGCTTGCTGAAGTCAATCCACCCTGTCATAAATACCTCCCCAAGGCCCATTGCCTGTTTTAAGCAAATAGCTTGTGTCAGCGAATTACACATTATTTATTTATCTATTTATTTTTTTATTTGCTTAAGAGGAAGAGAATGTATTTTACCCACTGAGTACTTCAGTGAACAAAGCTCCCCAATGAGATCTCTACGTTCAGATGTCTCTAGCTAATTCTGTGCTCTCTCTCCCAGGAATCAGAGAGCTGCATCCAAACAGGATGCTTTGGCTTAGTGAATTAGTAATGCTGGTGCTGGAAATATTTAGTTTTAAATTTTGTATGGGAAAGGTTTAAGTTTAGTGAGAGATGTCGCAGAAAGGCCAGGAATATCTGGGTTTATTGAAAGAGCTCCCAACATTAAGTGGTGACACAGAGAATCCATGGCAGAAGGAAGCAGAGTCAAGCTCATGTAATGAAAAGTCTGCAGATGCCAGGACCTGCCTGGAATGCTAAGTCATTAATAAAAACATAATGAACTGATAAAAGTATAACCATTCACATTAGATTCTTATATGACAAGTACATTAACAGTGGTTTATTAATAATAGTATAAAATTCAGAAATAAATATCCTAATGAGTCCTCAGATGTGTTGACTGATCATTGTTCATTGAAAAGATCCTTGACCATATCTTACAATCTCAGCTTTCCCATAAGACTCAAATTCTCAGCACACAAACTTTGGCTCAACTACCACTAATGAGCAAAATCAACTTCTGGCCATATTAATGGCCCAGAATGTTACTGGGTTTCTATTTTCAAGTATTAAAAGGATTTTTTGGTTGGTTGGGATTTTTCCCTGCTAAATCAGGAGGGATGATTTGCTATTCCTGTTTTGCTGAAAGACTTTTCCAGAAGTTTCCATGAGCAATAATGATAAAGTGGAAGGCGACACTTTCAGCGTAGACTTTTCTTACCCACACTCACAATCATTCACTGGGGTGGCAAAAAATTTAAAAATTAAATTTAAATATTTGGAATAAAATTAAATTTTATTCTTTTTATTCTTTATTCCTTACCCCTCAGCCCATATCACCCAGAATAAGAACTGACATTCTTTACAACTCCTCAGCCCAGATCAGCTGGAATAAGAATTGTCATTCTTTACAACTCAATCACATGGGCTTTTGTATAAAAATCTTCCTGCTGCTCTCTTGGGTTTTGCAGTTGGTTGTTTTTGGGGTTTTTTGGTGGTTTTTTTTGGTTTTTTGTTTTGTTTTTGTGTTTTTGTGGTTTTTTTGTTTTTTTGTTTGTTTTGTTTTTTTTTTGTTTGATTGGCTTTAAGGTTTTGGGGGAGCATTTGGTTGTTTTTTTTTTTAGTTTTTAGGTCTTTTTGTAAAAAGACAAATATAGTAAAAATTAAAAATACTTCTTAAAAAAACCCAAACCACATTTTGTTTATCCAAAAGAATGAAGCCAGAGTGTATGTGTACAATGCTGAGGGCTAGCAGATGCTCATTTTCTCTGCTTGTGCTCCAAGCAGGATGAATGAGGGCCAGCTGTGAGGCAGCAGCTCCAGAGCTGCGGTGGCACAGCCCTGTGCCAGCACACATGGCTGATAGAGCTGGAATATTTGGGTGCCTGGGACACACAACTGTCTGTGCTGGCCTGTGCTGGAATGTCTAGAACTGGGGGGCTGGCAGGGGAAAAGTGTCTTGGTTTTATTGTTCTTTGCTCTCCTTTTTGGCAGACTAACCTCAGAACTACAACACACTTGTGCCTGAACTCTTCCTCTCATTAGCATGTGCTAAAGAGTCTGCTACCCCTGCTTGAATGAAATAATTCTCTCTAACTTCACATTCACAAAGCTTTTCACACTTTAGTGTGTGCTGTGTCACAGCAGGTTCTGCTGCAGGCTGGACAGCTCTCACAAGGCCAGAAAGGCAGAACTCCTGAGGGATGGACTGGCTGGTCCCTGCTGGGCTGGATGTGCTGTGCTGTCACAGCCACAGCTCCAAGGAAGGGCAGGTTGAACACTGGAATGGGAACCATCAGCTCCCACTTTCCCCAGCTGAGCAGCACACAGTCAGACAGGAAGGAAGGAGACAGAGATAACAAAAATATATTCCCTCTCCTTCCAGGTGCAATTCCTCAAAGCAGCACTGATCTCTGAACTAAAACTAGGCATGAATTCCCAGCTGGATAGCCACGTTAACTCACTGCCTCTGGTGAGCATTACAAGGTCCAAACTAACACAGAAAAATAACAGAAGTGCCCACCATGAAATGAAGATTCACAGGTCACATACTGTGAATCTCACTAGAATAACCTGGCCTAATGATGCTTTCTCACATGGTCATTTGCTCGTTTTCCACTTATCAA